ATATGATAATGTATGGTATTGTGTGGTAACGAATTATATATTGATATTACCACACTATACTATATGGTATTGTATGGTATTGTGTGATATTACCACACTATACCATATGGTATTATGTGGTAACGAAATATATATTGATATTACCACACTATACCATATGGTATTGGGTGGTAACGAAATATATATTGATATTACCACACTATACCATATGGTATTGGGTGGTAACGAAATATATATTGATATTACCACACTATACCATATGGTATTGGGTGGTAACGTAATATATATTGATGTGACAAATTTTTTCATACCATATGGTATGGTCAATACCAGTCATTACCATATGGTATAGACTGGTAATAACTGACAAATTTTTTTATGTCTGAAAAATATCAAAGTGAATATCATTTTGAAGAGCACAATTAATATGATCTAACTGTGCAATAAAAATTAAATTCCGACTTAAAACGAGTGAGAAATCGTCCATTAAAGATTAAGAGAAGGAAAATTAAAGCTTGTTTGAGGAGAGAGAAGGTGCTGAAGTGATCTTGTCAGCGTCAGCGCGTCAGAGACATCATTAAATAGGGGGGGTGCATTTTTACCTTAGTGCCCCTCCGTGTTTAATTTGAAAAAAAAAAAAACGGACACGTGGGGACACATGATTAGATTACTGATAGTAAGGATACTGACCTGATCTGATTCCCCATTCATAGTGATAGACTAGCTAGACTTTTGGGATATCGTTCGCTCCAAATAAATATAAGCGTGCCTCGTTGTTATTTGTTAGATGCCCCATGCATTCCGAGCACCGGACACCCGAGCTATGTTTATGCATCTAGCTTGCTACTTGTTGGTTGTTACGTATAGAGTGAAAATGCTAACAAATGAATTAATGAGCCCTAACTCAAATCGAGTTATAAGATAGTAATTTCTACCTTCCATGGATGTCTCATCTAATAGATCCTACTTAAGTGACATGATTCGATCCATTTAGACTAGTCATTCATTACAAATATTTCATTTTGACTATTGATCATCCTGATTAGACGAACAAGTTCAATTATGCCCATTTTATCAAGTTAAATTCTTTTTTGGTACAGTATCAAGTTAATTTATTTTATTTTTGACCGATGAGCAACTTCACAGCTCGCTACCTTTTAAGCCCAATAATTTAATCCTCCCAAAATCGGCCGGCCGGAAAAAGACAAAAAGCCTTTTGGGCCGCACGCTCCGTATATAAAAACCTCGGACCAAGCCCATTCATTTTCCCCTCCATCCACCAACTTCCTAAATTCCCTCGCCGTTTTTTTCACAATTCCTCCTCCCGAAACGCTGCCATGGGGAAGCGCCTCCACAATCTCAAGCGCTCCTTCTCGTCCTTCCATTTCTGCCGGACCAAAAGAGCCGACGCCGTCGCTCCAACCGCCGCCGCCTACCGCCTCTCACCCTACAATCCCAAATCTCGCGACATCAATTTCCCCAAGTTCCCGTCTCCTCCGCCCACCACCCCCGACGACGGCAGCCGCCGGCGCCAAATCACCAATCAGCCGCAGCGGATGGCGCCGAGTCACTCGAGGTCGCCGCTTCTCCACGACAACCTGTCGGCGTCGGATTGCGACAGCGACTCGATCGAATCCGCGAGGAGGAGCGACGCCATGTGGCAGGCCAGGACCAATTACGCGAACAAAATCAGCCTCCACAGCTGCGATTTCGGGCCGGGCGGCGACCCGGACCCGGAATCTCGGAACCCTAAATTGAAAAACGGGAGCAAAAAGAGCGGCGCCGTGGTGGCGCCCTGCGACGAGGGGGACGAGGAAACGGAGGAGGAGGAGGAGGAGGAGGACGGCGCCCGCGACGGCGACGAGACGGAGAGCTTCCGCTACTCCTCCAGAAGCTTCTCCTTCGACGATACCTCGTGCGAGTTCAACCGCGCCGGGGAGACGACCGGGAGCGAGAACGAGGAAGTGAGGTTACTGCGGCGGGCGGCGGATGACGGTGGCGAGAGGAGGATTCCGAATCCGACTGACATGCGGCGGCAGGTGCTTATGGGGTTGAGATCGAGTTCTTCGGCGGGGGAGCTGGGCGGCGGCGGGTCGATGGGGGAAGCGATGGCGGTGGTGAGGAAATCGACGGATCCGAAGGGGGATTTCAAGAGGTCGATGTTGGAGATGATAGCGGAGAAGGAGATTTACGACGCGAAGGAATTGGAAGAACTGCTGCAGTGCTTGCTGTCCCTGAATTCCAGGGAGTACCATGGTGATATCGTGGAGGCCTTCTCCGAGATTTGGAAAGTGATCTTCATCGGTGATTGAGAAACTACGATTTACAGTAGCAATACTGAATGGTTCGGTTTCAACACGAGCTAACATCGTTGGATAAATCGATCACAACTTTTATTTCATTGCAACTACAGAATAATTGAAACAACGATGTACATAATTTACTGGTATTGATTTGAGATAGTAAGACTGTCCACAGCAAGAAGGGAAAAAGAGGATAAAAGGGGAAGAAAAAAAAGAGAAAATGACTTACAATAGGGGTGGCTATTATGGAAAAAAGGATAAAAGGGAAAGAAGGGGAGGGTTTCTCCTGCGCTAGAGGTTAAAAGAAGGAGGGGAAGTGGGTCCAGGTGGGTGAGAGGAGGAAGGGAAGGGGGACAATGTGGTTGTGTTTTTTTTTTTTTTGTTTTTTTTTAAATTGTTTTATGATTTTCTTATTGGATTTTTATGAGTTATTGGATTTTAGTGATAAATTTTTTTATGTCCAAATTAAAAAAAATTATATCGAAATGTTCGTCTTAATTAATTAATACTACCTATATAAAAATAATGAATAAATTATCAAAATAAAGTTACCATATCAACTCTAGATTGATTTTGAAAAAACAAACCCCTCCCCAATACCTTTTTTTCCCTACCACCTATTGTGGCCATTATCCTTCCCCATCCTTTTTTCCCACTTTTCCCCTCCTCTTTTCCCCTTTTTCCCTTCTACCATTGTGGATAGTCTAATGAAGCTCGTTTTGTGAGATTGTAATGTAACTCTTAATGTGTTTTGAACCAAGAAAAGTTTTATACAAAGTAATAATTAATGGGTCGTTTGCTTGATGGATTTGGGTTATGGATTTGGGACTCAAGTCCCAAGCATGATGGATTTTAGCCAAGTTCATTGTTTGTTGTTAGGTGTTAAATTCGTGGGGTCCACGGATTTGTTCCCTTTTTTTGATCCAAATCCGTGGACCCCACGGACTTGTAAATCCCACATATTGGGGTGGGATTTGTAAATCTTTGATGACTAGTTATATTTATAGCAAATCCATCATAATTATATCATCAAATCTATCATGCAAACAGTAGACTCTTCAAATCCATGATGGTACAAATCCCTCATAAAATCCAAAGGTTTTTTTTGAGCCAAACCCTCGTTTTTCAAATCCAACAAGCAAACGACCCCTAAATCCACTACAACAACTATATATTTTCGGGGAAAAACTGACCAATATATTCTATAAACTTGTGTAAAGGTGGTTATGTGCAATGTAATTAAAATCACGTTTTAAAACTTAAAAACTAACGTTTTCATATTTTTAGGTTACTAAAACGATTCTACATAGAGTCACGTTTTTTTTTTGCTTCTTTACAAGTATAGTAAAATCTACGCTTTAAAACTTGAAAACTTACTATTTTGTACTTCTAGCTCAACAAATTTCTTTTACATAGAACCACGATTTTGACTACATTGGTTATGAGAAGAATTTGTTAGTTCATTTGGTCTGATCATCACCTACATACTGACTGCATGCGATTAAAAGTTGTATCACAATTAAACTACAATTTCAGCACAAAATATTCTACTACTAATTTTTTCGGTACAACCTTCGATGTACGGTTTAACAATTATCGATTATCATCTCATGAAGTCACATTAACTTGTAAGTGAGTTCACTCCGGTAGATATGAAGTAATAAATGAATTCCATTCAACAGTTTAGATTCATGAATGGAATTGAAAATGCAACATATTTGTAAATCTTAAAAGACTACACAAATTTTGTTATTAAGTGAAAATGTTGGAACAGTAGTTGTACAGTTACTGCTAAATCTACGAGGCCAAATTCGTCTTGGTCTAAATATTTAGGTCTGTACTATTTGGTGGATTGGTTATAACTAACCATGTTTAGTTATTGAGCTAACAGAGTAGGATTGGGTTTTTTTTTAGAAAAGAGTAAGATTGTTTTGAGCAAGACAATTTCTGGCATATTCTCATGTATATTACTTAGAGGTGGCAAATGGATTGGATTGGTGGATTGGTGGATTGGATTGATGGATCTATGGATCAAATGGATTGGATTTAATGGATTGGTGGATTCATGGATTGGATCAAGTGGATTGGTGGATTATCCATGAATCCAAATGACATCCTCAACCAAGGACCAATATGTAAAATGTAAAAAGTTTAGGTACTAAAATGTCACAATGAAAAAATTTAGGTACCAAAATGCAATTTTCCAATGATATTTTTCGTATAAGAAATAAAATTTTAGGTACCAAAATGTAAAAAATAAAAATTGTAGGTACTAAACCGTAATTTGCCAATGATCCATGGATCCAATCCATGAATCCACCAATCCAATTGGATTTGGATCAAATGGATTGGATTTAAATGGATTGGATTAAGTGGATATTTTTAATGGATTGATGGATTGGATTGGTGGATTGGATTGAAATTGCCACCTCTAATATTACCCAATAATAACCGACATAAATAGTGATTTTATATTTTCTTTTTCGTATCTTAACTTATACTAGAGTGCTTCATCCATACGTTAAAACTTGAAACCAGTGAGTACAAGACACTGACGGCTTATTATACTCACCTCACTCGACACTGACGGCATAGTTTTGGCAACTTTGTTACCTCACAACAACAAGTATTAGCAACAAACAAGATCCTCCGAAATTCGACCATTGCCTACTACAGAGTCGCTTTCATTATTTTGTTGCCGTAGTATTGGAATTTAGTATTTACACCGCAAAATCTGGGAAACGAAACAAAACAGGACGGCCAGCTCATTTAAATATGACCAAGTGTCACATAATCACTTGCAGGCTGCAGCAGCATAGAGACTATTTACAAGAGATTAACGAACTAAATTACAATTTTATTAAAAAAAATGCGGGAAAGAAAGCTAACTCACAAGTCACAACAACAATCGATTCGAGCAATTCCACTATCCTTTTGAGACTAGCCTGTAACCGTGAAGTAATTTTGTTGCATTCATGTGAATCAAGAGAATGGACGTACAACAACGTTACAAGTACAGCATGCGCTGAGGAGAGAAAGTGTCCATGGCCCCAGGTTTTTCCCTCAATCAACAACATGAACCGGCCCCATGAACTCGACCTCGCTCTTGAAAGTCTTGACGTGGCAGAGCTGGCCGCCAGCTTCGTCGGCGAATGATATCTTCCTCTTCTCCTTCTGGACGACGACGACATTTGCTGCTGGAGGAGCGGAACCGTTCTGGGCCAATTTCTACAGGTTTCATTTTAGTGGGTAGCTATCAGTACAAGTACAGAGTTGCTAGCATTTTAGGGACGCCCATGGTATAAAGTCAGTTAGGGAAAAACAAACCATTAGTTTGCAGAAGCGATCGCAATCCCTTGCCATTGTGGAGAGCCATCTTCGCGCATTGTCTTCCACTCTTGCTGCTTTCTCTATGGCACTACTCGCCTGCAACAAGTAAAATCAAGAACCGATTGGATTGACGAGAGACGAGAGTTAGGCAGTCATTTGAGGTCCCTGACTATTTTCTTTTTATGTAAATACCTCTTGGTGGGTATATTTGGGGGAGTCGGATGGGTTGCCGTGCAATGTTGCTTCAGCAATTTCCTTCATGGACCTCAACTCCTTGGTGAGTTTGGTCGCCATGGATTCAAAGTCACGCATCTGGTTCTGCGAGAACGAGATGGTGCTCTCTGAACAGCTTTGTATTGAGGTGCACCCTGTACTGAAGCTCGGAGCACGAACAGGACGAGAAATGGCCTTGGGGGCATCATTAGGAGGAGTAATGGGTTTAGGGTTCTTGAGTTTCCTCATCAATTGCTGTGGACTGACTGTGTTTTCAGCAGCTCTCTTGGCCTGATTCACCCCATCAGGCCGGCTATTTTTTCTCTCCGGCTGCTTCTTTCCGTAGCATAATTTCCTTGCAAACTCTGCAGGCACACATGAGTTAGAAAGTTATTCTCTCAGGCTAACTGTGACATGGAAAGGGTGATAGTTCAATCTTTGTTTAATCCTCAAATTCAAACCTTTTGTGGTTTGAACTGCATAGACCTTGTTGGAACAAAGGAAAAAAAGAAGAAAATCGAAAATAAGATCAAATCAACTTCTAATCTGATTTTTCTTTTAGTTCGATCTGATCCATGTCGCTGCATCCCAGTTCAGAATCACACTGAACCATATGCACTCTAATTCTGACCATTGCAATTGACCATGTCTGACTAATCAACCATCTACAGATATAGAAGGAAGATTTTGAAATAAGCCTAAAGACGAGGCACAAAGAAGGGCGGAGTAAGAATGCTCACTGTATAATTGCTCATCATCTAACTCGTTGGATTCCATGGCTTTCCGTAGCTTTTCCTGGGAAGTTGGAGAGATGGCCTGAAACAATATGCTACCAGGGTTACCATTTCGCTAAACAAAAAAACTTCAATTAGGAGAAACCAACAATAGATGTGAGCATGTTACAGACCTTCCTTGCTGAAAGCAGCCTTTCAGTAGGATGCCACTGGTGATCAGAGGCATCGGAGTCCTCACCCCCAACTAACTTAACTGGCTGATCAGAACTGCTCCTTTCCATATCAGCACTTGGAAATGATGGAGATCGCATTGCCAGGTTAGCAGAAGAATCGCCAGCGCTTGGAAATGGATGTAAAATCTGAACTTGGTCGTCACTTATTGCGTTAGTGCAACTGTCAACCGTGGTTTCTAACTGGGAGCTTTCATCTTTGGCTTCCCCCTCAAAACGACATGAATCAACCACCATCCATACTGTGTTAGCTTTTGTAGTGATTTCGATATTGCTGGCGGCAGTCCTAGTATTCTGCAACCCATCTTTGGAGTCTTCGTGTACGATTGAGCAAGGATCCTTAACTGGAGAGACTACTTTGTCCAACTCACCACTCAGGTGTGAATCAATGACCATATCATCTTTCTCCAACTGTGACAAAGACACATCTGATAACTGCTGAAGAACCGCCTTTGTTTCTTCCTCTTCTTCATCTTTCACCATTGCTTCTGCACCCGAGTCTTTCAGACCATCAATGGCAACTACTGCTACATCATGATCTTTGTCTGTATCGGATTCTTCACTTGAAGCACTCCTAGAACTGGGAGGTGATGCCTCAAGATCCTCCAAATGTTCATAAGACATTTTGCTAGCACGACAGTTTTGCAGCCCATCTTCAAGCTCGTCCCATGGAGTATCAGTTTCGACAGAACAGCATTGAACCTCATTGCTGATGTCATTGGAAGTTCTAACTGCTGCAGCCTCAGTCTCGGAATCAAGGTTTTCCAAATCCGGAAGACCCTCCAAATGTTCATAAGAATTTTTGCTAACAGGATAGTTCCGCAACCCATTTTCAAGCTTGTCACTCTGAGGATCAGTTTCAACAGAACAACATTGAAGCTCATTGCTGATGTCATTGGAAGTTTTAGCCGCTTCAGACTCCTTAGAATCATAGTTTTCCAAAAACAGAAGCTCAGTAGGAGACTTAATGGACAATCCCATCTCAACATCACAACCAAAACTTGAGCCGGGCTCTCGATCGGATACTAACTGTAAAGAAGCAAGTGGCTCAACCAAACCATTAGAGCTATCAAATAAGTGAACTACAACAATAGCTTGGCAATCTGCATGTCTAGTCTCAGGAATCTCATAGTCACTTCCGGAGCTTAAGCTGGGGTCTTCATCATCAGAAGTCAACCCAAATGAAGCAAGTGGCTCTACCCAGTCACTTAACACCATAGCTTGGCAATCCCCGTGACCACTCTCAGAAACCTCGTCTTTCACATGAATATCTGAAGCTAAACTTGAGTCGGACTGACATGGGTATTCACCGCTGCTCTGTACATCTTCAAACTTGGTGATTGCTAGGGCGGGTTTGAATCGACATAAGTCGCTCATTTTCTTCTTCTTTTGATTCACCTTCCTTTTCTGAGCTATTCTGGCTCTCCAACTGCTGAGGCACTCCATCAGATCACAATCATCTTCCTCGGCTCCTGACAAGCTATTTCCAGTCGATGATTCTTTGCTGAAACGCTTTCGTTTCTTTGCTATGCATCTCACCCTGAGTTGCTCGAGTGTAAGACAACAAAAATCAATATCGTCATCATTCTTATGCTCTTCCGCTGCTTCTCTTGAGTTACTATTGGAAGAAACCCCACTCTCCCTTTCAATATCTGATCCACTTCCCTCAAACCTCTGTAGATTTTCAACCTTAACCTCACGCCCGCCTAGATCAGGCTTTTCTGGCAGCTCCTTGAGATTAGGTTTTGGTCGACGTCTAGCAGGTGAATTAGGGGCGTTCCTCAAATCCCCGTACACATCTTGGAGGTTCTTGAACTTGAGCGCTGGCTTTCCACGAAAGACATTTGGGACTTTCGTCACTTTACCACCTTTGATTTCATTAATGTAATGGAAGTGATTGGAGCTCCTCAATTCCATTTGGACGATAACTTAAAGAACCACAGCTGCCGCGGATCTGCAACAAACGACTCGTCAGTTTAACAAACTCTGAGCACAATTCCCACGCATTTCATCGAACACAATGACTGCAATAACTTTTAGCAATTGCAACTCTGCTTTCCAAATATTAAAAACCCGCGTACAAGTAGAGAGCCAAACAATTCAGAACAGTGAAGCCTCGAAATACGTGTCAATTCAGAACAGATCCTAGTTCGGAGTTCAGCCATGTGAGCTACAAAGCCCAGTTTTCCTTGAGCGCATTAGCGCATCTAACTAAACCGCAGATCTATGCGCCCAAAAGGCAATCTAGCCGCGCCGGAAAGTGGCAGATCTAGTAGCAAGGAATTCCCGGTCTCGGCCAGAAGGAGTCGAGGACCGAAAAGCAAACAGAGAGAGCGCGGGGAAACGACGCTTACCGGGAATCAGCCGCCGATGAGAGGTTGGAAACGGAGGTGAGATAGTTCCCGTGACCTGGTCGACTCAGGTTTGTGCCGCCAGGCGCGTGTTGGAAGGGAGAAGAAGAAACTATATGGATTCGATTTTACACTGTATATTTAGGGGGGAAATTTTTGGGCGATTTGTGTTTGGCGCCAGCGCCAATACGCCATTGGGTTCCTTTTCGTTGGCGGGAATCAAGTCCCGCTCAAGTAGGCTGAGGAATACTTTGGTGTTGCCATTCCTACTCGTAGTCGAGCAATGGCTCCGTTTTTCAACGTTGATTTTGATTGGGCCAGTCGGGACAGTTTGGGCCCTATGCTATCAGCCCACTGGTATCTAAACAAGCCTGCTCATACTCACTAAGACTTTGACTTTGGTCCTTATCAAGCCCACTCAAGCTCGCTTTGTCGTCTGTAATGATATCACACCTATTCAGGTTAATCATGACTTCCTTTTGAGTTCTGATTCATTTGAAAGAAACTGAAGGGTGATACCAAAATCAATTTTTCGTTTATTTGCAGATGTTGTAATTTGATCCTCAATGAGACAATGACCACGTTATAAGTAGTGATAGTTTTAGAGACAAGATAGCAAACCTAAGGAACAAGGTGGCTGGGTTGAAGTCTGCTAGACAAATGAATATGGCTTACATGATTAAGCTTGGATGGAACATGCTTAACAAGGAGGATGATCCGTGGGTTCAAGTGTTGCAGGGGAAGTATTTCAAGATGAGGAATGGTGAGATCCTCTCAATGAAGAAGAGTAATCATTCCAATATGTGGAAGGCCATGGTCAAAGGAATGAACCTGATGAAACATGCTACCTGTTGGAGCATCCGTGATGGCCGAGCCACCAAGTTCTGGACACAAGCATGGGTTGACAACGACATCATCCTGGAGGACTTTGCTCTTGATGATGTACTTGAAGAAGAGAAAGATTCTGTTGTTGCCAATTGGGTCACTGAGGGGGTGAGTGGGATTGGGGGAAACTTAGAACTGCCCTCCCTGATTGCATCCTTTCCTTGATTGCAGGTGTGGAAGCCCCCAACCCAAACCTGGGTGAAGACACAAACATCTGGGGACTGGAGTCAAGTGGTCGTTTCAGCTTGAAATCAGCATACAACCTTGCAGCTGAGGAGATGGAGGAGGAAGGAGAACCAGAAAGAGGCTGGAAAGCTCTTTGGAAATGGAAGGGCCCTAGTAGAATTAAGCATTTTATTTGGCTTGTCATGCACGAAAGGCTGATGACCAACAAAGAAAGGAGAAGAAGAAAGCTCACCACCAACAGCTTCTGCAGCCTCTGCAAGGATAAAGAAGAATCCATTGACCACATTCTGAGAGACTACAGCAAAGTGAGGAAGATTTGGGATTCTTTTCCCTGCAAAGTTGCTGCTAATAGCATGAACCTACCCTTGAGAGAATGGCTGCTAACAAACCTTACTCAGGAGGAGAGTGCTACTGGTTTTGGTATCATCATATGGCACTTGTGGAAACAAAGAAACGAAGAAGTCATGGAGGGGCGCGCCTTCTGCAAGAAAGGTTTGATTGCCAGGATTAAAGCCTGGTTCCACATTGTGGAACAGGCACACCAGAATGTGCAGAAGACTTCACTTACTAGTAGGACTGCAGGTTGCACAAGATTGATCTACTGGGTTCCACCTGATGAAGGATGGATCCAACTGCAAACGGACGGTTATGTGGTCACTTCGACTGGGAAAGCTGTTGGAGGACTTTTCAGAAACAACTTGGGACAATGCAAAGGGGCCTTTGTCTGCAACATTGGGTCGTGTTCCATCACTGCTGCTGAGCTCAAAGGCGCGTTGGAAGGGCTCAAAATTGCGTGGCAGAGAGGGTACAGGAGGATTCAGCTCAACCTGGATTCTTTTACTGCTCTTGAAATCATCAAGCAACGCCAGAACGACAACCATCGACATGGTAGTTTGGCTAAACAGGTTAGCTATCTTTTGAACCTCGATTGGGAGGTGACAGTTTCTCATGTATATAAGGAAGCTAATTGTGCCGCCGATTTCTTGGCTAACAAGGCACATGATTTTGATTTTGGCACACATCCTTTCAATGTGTGCGATGTGGACTTCGTCCAATGGCTTCGCCACGATGTAATGGGAACTTCCCATGAACGTTTTACTACTAATGTGATTTAGACGCTTTGCGTCTGTCTTTCAACCAAAAAAAAAAAAAAAGATAGTATGAGCTAAAATATTTAGCATCCATGCATGACCAATCACTATTGGATCTGCTGAAGCTACATGTTTGTCAGGTTTGCTAGCCGAAGCGGTCTAGTTTTGGTTCTCACTAATTCGAGTTACGAGTGTTAAATAACACTAGTTCGATGCAAATCAAGCTATATATAGGCTCTTTAATTATATATTAACTAGGTTTGTGCTTTATCATTTTTGTTAATGTGTATATCGATACATCCGATAAACATATAGACAACACACTTCCTAGTTCCGAGTATCCGTGTACTAAGAATATAAAAAATGTCATCGTGTACAACTAATTACGAAACGTGTTAAGGTCATAAGACAAGAATCGCACAAAACTAATTAACCTTCAATGCTCAGAGCAACTGATGCATCATCGATTTCTTAGTGAACATATAATTCCTATAAATACACTCACAAATACGGTCGTTATATATATCTCATCTTCCACATCCCCATCCCCATCTTCCAATCATCAGATATAAGTGCTGGAGAGCAATCCTCGTGGTCCCCTTGATCATCAGAATTAGTAATTTGCCATCGTGATTTGGCTTAAATTCCAATTGAAAACTTACACGGAGTCTGCTTAATTAGTAGATTTCTGCTATTGAAGGGAAGAACAAATGTTGGGCAGTTGGGCTCACACATTAGAGTAGGGGTGGGATTCGGTTTTTCGGTAAACGGTTTACCGTTTTACCGAACCGTTTACCGACGGTATCGGCGACCGAGCGTGGGCTGGGGTGTATCAGTTTACCGAAACCGGTATCGGTATTTACCGACGGTAAATCGGTAAACCGTTTACCGAACCCAAAACGACGTCGTTTTGATTGGCCCCCAAATCTATACATTAAGTCCTAAACAGCGAAACCTAGCCGCCAACCCTTCTCTTCTCTTCTTCGTTCGAAAATCGCAGAGAGGCCCTTCTCTGCTCGTCGTTCGAAACCTAGCCACCTCTTTTCTTCTTCTCGTATTCGCCGGCCGCTCCTTCTGCTGACGACGGCGACGAGCAGCGCAGCTGACGACGGCGACGAGCAGCGCGGCGACACCTTCCTGCTTACGCCGAGGGAATCGACATGGTGATAAAAGAGTTGTCGAATACCCCAGGCCGCAGAGAAATTTGACATAATCCTTCTCCCCAGCATCATATACAAGTCCAGGATCTGCAGCCTTGATGGGATTGATTTGTCCCGTCCCATATGCTAGCTCAGCCTCAGGATTATACTTGGCACTCAGGGGTCGTGCTGCATGTTAGGAAATATAGATTAGTACAAATTGTCTTCAAACTGTTTCTTGCTATCTTTAGAGATTATTCACAGAATTGGCTAAAGGGTAATGTTGATAGATTTCCATAGTAGCATGAGCACCTGTTGTCATAAGAGCTGACTTAATGGCAGCAGGGGACCAAGTGCGGTGGAGCGATTTAACATAAGCTGCTGCTCCAGTTGCATGGGGGCAAGACATTGAAGTGCCAGAGATGATGTTGTATGCAAAAACCCGCCCCTACGTCGCCCTTGCGGTAATTCGGTAAACCGGTTTGCAACCGTTTACCGGTAAGTCGGTAATCGGTAAACCGGTTGCAAACCGGTATCGGTAAACGGTAAACGGTTTTGCCAGTGTCGGTATACCGAAACCGGTAAATTCGGTAACCAATTTACCGTTTACCGACCGATTCCCACCCCTACATTAGAGGCCCGGTTTAACAAGAGCAGAGTCCAACCATAGTCAAGCCCACAAAATTGTGGTCAACGTCAACGTCCAACCAGAGTCCTTCTTTCATTCACTTCCCAACTCCTGTCTGTCATCATCTCCAATCCGCCACACTGTTGAAAACCCGAGCTTAGCTTAACTGAGCTCCCGATTCCCAATCCTCTGCATCATCTTCATCAAGTGAAGTGGCTCCGCGAACTGCAGGTATGCTGTTTATTTCCCGTCTTCGAAACATTCAGATCTCGTTGGTAGCGGATTAAACCCTTCCTTTGCGGCGGTCTTGCATACACCAATCTTTGATTTGCGAATGGCCTCTTTTATGATTACTTACTTTGAATCTACCAATCAAACCACGAGCAGAGCCAAATGGAATCCTCCGTCGCCGCCGCTTCTTCTACGCCGACGACCGTCGTTCTTCCAGCGGGGGATTACGAGGTTTTCTTGAGCTTCAGGGGTCCCGACGTTCGCAAGAGGTTTGGCGATCATCTCTACACCTCATTAGTGCGTGCCAAGATTCGCACGTTCAGAGACGAGGAAGAGCTCCAGAAGGGCGAAGGGATTGCGCCTTCTCTAGTCCGGGCCATCCCGGAATCGAAGATCTACATCCCTATTTTAACCCAACAGTATGCTTCCAGCAAATGGTGCCTTCTAGAACTTGCTCAAATGGTGGAATGCTGGAAGCAAGGGAAGGGACACCTCATCCTCCCCATTTTCTACTTTGTTGACCCCAGAGATGTGCGGCATCAGCAGGGTCCTTATCAGCAAGCTTTTTAGCAACACGCCCACAAACATGGCCAGCATACCGTGAATGAATGGAAGGAAGCACTTCGAGAAGTCGGGCAAATGAAAGGATGGCACGTTACGGAATCTTGCAGGTAATTACTAGTTAGATCTCTCTTTTGATTTTGTTTGAGTCCGATCGACTGGGGGTCGCTCGAGTCCAAGGGGTTTGAGGTGTCAGGCATGACCTCGAGGAGGTAGGCGCCCCACCTCAGTAGATGTGGGAAAAGAGAAGCAAGAAGACGTGTATAGAGAGAGAAAGTAGAGAGAAGTTAGAGTAAAGAGTAGATAGCTTGCCATTTATGAGGAGAGAACTCCTATTTATACACATTTGAGGGTTAGGTAGTGGTCTGGGCGCCTGCCAAGCCATAAATGCTGTGGTCGGGCGCCTCAGACCTTCTGACACTGTACATAGTCCTTTTTGACATAGGGTGTCCCCCTGCCCCTTATCCTTGCTGATGTCAGGTGCCTGGCCTTGTCTCTTGTCTCCCAGCCTTGTCTTTTTGCTCTTTTGTCTTCTTTCCTTCTTTATGCCATTAGCTAGGGTATTGTTTCCTTAGTTACTAGGATACCCTATCAATTGCCCCTTTTGGCGATGGCGTGGGTACTGCGGTATCGTCAAACAAGTATGTTCTTTTATGGTAAAAATATAGAAAGAATTATAAAAGAATAGATAAAAGATAAAAAAATTAGAAATAAAAAAGAAAGAAAAACTATAAAAGAATAAGTAAAATAAATAAAATAACAGAGAAAACAAAAGTTTATGGCAAGGGGTGGGGTGGTAGCGAAGACGCCACCCTATATAGGCTGCTAGCAGCGGCTTTGGGCCAAGCCCAGAAAAATTTGGAGGGGGGGGGGTTTAATTGAGAAGAGGTGATAGAAGGCTGAACCCTAGGGCAGCCCGCCTCGGAACCCGTGCGCCCTCCTCCTCATCCCTATTTAAATCCCTCCTCCCCCTCTCTTCCTTCACTTTTTTTTTCTCAATTTTTTCGGCTGCTCCCCTTCTCTCCCGCGGCGCTTCGCTTTCGCACCTCCTTCCTCTTTTCGCGAGGCGCCTTGCCTCGTCTCGCCTCTTTCGGTTGGGTAGGCGCCCGGCGCCTTCAGCTAATCCGGCCATCTCCCTCTCGTTTTTCGGCGGCAGGCTCCATACTGCTCACAGGTCTAGGTGAGCTTTACTTTTGCGATCGGAGGCGCCACCCCCTTCGTTCTTTTCCAATCGGGAACGCCGCCTCTTTTTTTTCGTTTCGTTTCGTTTGGGTAGGCGCCCGGCGCCTTCGGCTAATCGGGGGCGCCACCCCCTTCGCTTTTTTCCAATCGGGAGCGCCTCCTCCCCTTCTTTTCGCTAGGCACCTTTCGGTTTGACTACTTCTGAATCGTTTTTCTTTTGCATGCGCCTCGCTTCATCTCTTTCGTTTGGGTAGGCGCCCGGCGCCTTCAACTAATCGGGGGCGCCACCCACTTCGCTCTTTTCCAATCGGGAGCGCCTCCTCCGCTTTGACTACTGTCGTGTGCCTCCTTTCGCGGCCTAGGTACGCTTTCTCCTCTCTTACCCATAGTTCGCTACATTACTAATCTTCTGATCTGTTGAGCGCTTGTGCACCCGCGTGGGTGTGCTTGCTTCCAAATAAGATGTAGTAAAATGAGAAAGAATAAACACATGTCTCAAGTAACGAAGACTAGCTAAAGAAGCAATCATGCCCCTTTTATCAAGCGCCTGACGCTTGCATTCTTCCGTTCTTCATCAATTATTTCCCAAGTGACCACTTTTTCATCTAAGAGGATGCGCCCACGATCGTGTTAGAGGATTCAATCTATCTTGACAATCATATGAAATTGAGACAAACTTGTCAGTTTTCCTTTGAACACCCTGTGCCTTGCCCATTTGAAACGAGCGCCTAGCGCTCTTTTGCCATTTTCTTCTTTTTGCCAAAAGATATCACTGATATTCAAATGCTTTCCATTCATTGTCTGAGATGCTACATTTTTATTTCGATTACTTGTGCTCTTTTAGAAGAGTGCTTGCTTCGATTCTTTGGCTAATCACTTGTCACCCAGCTTGTCTTTAGTTGCCCTAAGACCCAAACTCAACGAGGTGTCTGGCGACTCGCTCCTTTGCTGAGGTGTATGACCCTCAGTTGGGCGTCTGGCACCTCACTCCTTCAGTGAGGTGCCTGACCTTCAGTGGGGTGCCTGGCGCCTCACTCCTTCGCTTATGTATTTGGTAAACATTTGTCATCCAGCTTGTCGTTTGTTGCCTTCAGACCCAAAGTCAACGAGGTGACTGGAGACTCGCTCATTTGCCAAGGTGTCTGACCTTCAGTTGGGCGCCTGGCACCTCACTCTTTCAGCGAGGTGCCTGACCTTCAGTGGGTGTCTGGCGCCTCACTCCTTCGGCGAGGTGCCTGACCTTCAGTTGGGCGCCTGGCACCTCACTCCTTCAGTGAGGTGCCTGACCTTCAGTGGGGTGCCTGGCGCCTCACTCCTTCGCTTATGTCTTTGGTAAGCATTTGTCATCCAGCTTGTCGTTTGTTGCCTTAAGACCCAAAGTCAACGAGGTGACTGGAGACTCGCTAATTTGCCAAGGTGTCTGACCTTCAGTTGGGCGCCTGGCACCTCACTCCTTCAGCGAGGTGCCTGACCTTCGATGGGGTGTCTGGCGCCTCACTCCTTCAGTTATGTCTTTGGCTAAGCATTTGTCACCTAGCTTGTAGTTTGTTGCCTTAAGACCCAAAGTCAACGAGATGCCTGGTGACTCGTTCATTTGCCGAGGTGCCTGACCTTCAGTTGGGCGCCTGACACCACACTACTTCGACGAGGTGCCTGACCTTCAGTGGGGCGCCTGGTGACTCGCTCCTTTGTCGAGGTGCCTGACCTTTGATACGGCGGCCGACACCTCACTCCTTTGGTGAGGTGTCTAGCGACTCGCTCCTTTGCCTAGGTGTCTGACATTTAGTTGGGCGCCTGTCACCTCACTCCTTCAGCGAGGCGCCTGGCACCCACTCCTTCAGCGAGGTGTCTAATCTTCAATGGGGCGCTTGGCACATCACTCCTTCGGCGAGGTGCCTAACCTTCACTGGGGCACATGGCGACTTGCTCATTTGTCGAGGTGTCTGACCTTTAGTTGGGCGCCTGACACCTTACTCCTTCAGCAAGGTGTCTAACCTTCAGTTGGGTGCCTGGAGACTCGCTTCTTTGCCGACGCTACCCCCTTGCTTCAGGTAGCTTATTTCGTGCCTAATTTTTTGTAAGCGCTACCCTTCCTTCTTCCTAGGCGCCACCCTTTACAATTATTGAATTAGGGACTACGCCGTCATATGTCCTCTTCTTCAATCGGGGGCGGCGCCTTCGCGCCCTTGTCTCTAAAATTATTGGTCATTTTCAGGCAACGCTCCTTCCATTCGTTAGGCGCCTTCGGATCTCGCGTATATGAGTTCTGCTTTGTTTTTCCTAGGCGCCACCCTTTACAATTTTTGAACTAGGGGTGGCGCCGTCGTTCGCCTTTTCTTCAATTGGGGGAGGCGCCTCTGCCTCCTCGTTTCTAAAATTATGTATTTTCTCAGGTGTCGTTCCTCCATTCGCTGGGCGCCTTCGGATCTCGCGTAGGTGAGTTCCGCTTTGTTCTTCCTAGGTGCCACCCTTTACAATTTTTGAACTAGGGGTGGCGTCGTCGTTCGCCTCTTCTTCAATTGGGGGAGGCGCCTCTGCCTTGTTTCTAAAATTATGTATTTTTTTCTCAGGTGTCGTTCCTTTCATTTGCTGAGCGCTTCCGGAACTTGCGTAGGTAATCTCTGCTTAATCTTTCTTAGGCGACACCCTTGCGAAATTTTGAACCAGGGGCGGCGCCATCGTTCGCCTTTTCTTTAATTGGGGGAGGCGCCTCCCCGTCTTTGTTACAAGATTTTTTCTTTTCTGAACTCTCTTGCTTGTTTGAGCGCCACCCTCCGATCTTTTATTAGGCGCCGTGTTTAAGCTTCTCATTTTCCCGACAGTTGCTCTATCAGATTGCTCTAACATACTTGCCCCTTGTTCTTTGTTGCTTGTTTTTTTATTAGGTTACCTCCTTCAGGAGACTCCGCGCGCCACCTCCTCCTTTGTTTGAACGCGCTCACCAGGTGTTTGTTTGTTTCCCTGCTCGAGCGGTGCTTCACCCTCTTTCGTCTTATTCTTTATTTGCGATGTAGGTTTATCCGCTTCAAGGCGTCTAATAACTTGCAGTCGTCAACTTCTATGGGTGGCGCCTCCACTCCCTCTAAAGGGAAAGCTAAAGCTTTGAGGGTGACATGTCCAGTGTGGAGCTCCAGCCTGAAACAGGCAAATTTCGAACTACTGACGACCCCGACTACCGCGTTTTGCGATGGCGTGGCTGAAGTCTCCCCACGCGTACCCCTGAAAAGGAGGTGACGCGCTTAGGCTTCTCCTCGAAGGAGTAAGCGAGCTTGAGTATCCCGTGCGTATTCTTGAAAAAGAGGTAACGCGTTTAGGCTTCTCCTCGACGGAGGAAGCGAGCTTAAGTATCCCGTGCGTACCCTTGAAAAAGAGGTAACGCGTTTAGGCTTCTCCTCGACGGAGGAAGCGGGTTTGGGTGACCCCTTCTGTCAAGGCAGGAATTTTTTGCGAGGGATATGGACAAAATATCGCCTCTCATGGGGACTCATAAACCGAGCGCCCGACACTCGGATAAAAATCCACGTGTAAGCACTAGGGCTCTTCCGCTAGTCGCGGGTAAAGGCTTTGCCAAGATGAATATCTTGAGCAAGAATTGATTTCTCCTACGCGTACCCCTGAGAAGGAAGTAACGTGCTTAGGCTTCTCCTCGATGGAGGAAGCGAGTCCAGGAAGACTCCATTTGTTTCTCTATGATCACTTTCCGCAGTAGTGAATTTCCATTTCCTTTCTAGGAAGGCGGCGTCATCAGCTTTGAACGCTTCTTCTTCTGGTGAGGCGCCTACACCCTCCCGTGGGGAGTTCATGGGTGGCGCTTCGACCTCGCACATCTTTCCTTTCAGGCGCCTTCTTTCATCTGGGGCTCCTTGGAGGTCGGGAGGCGCGTGGTCGTTTACTTTTGTCAATGTCGACAATGCTGTCATGACTTGATCTAACTGCCCTTGTATGTTTGCCATTTGAAGCGTTTGCTTTCTTGGAGCCTCGCTAGTTGACACCTCAGGCGCTCCGTGTCCTCTTCGCCTTCTGGTAGATCATCGTCATCGGATGGTTCCAAGCCTTAGACGGTGAGTGGTTGGGGATTGATCGCTTCTCGACCAACAATTTGCTTGAGAGGGGTCTTTGTTGGTGTCGTGCTCTTCTCTTCTCCTTTCTTTGAGATGGAGGCGTCTTTTGAAGTCATGCTTGGCCCCAAGGTGGGCGCCAATTGTTTGAGCCCGATCGACTGGGGGTCGCTCGGGTCCAAGGGGTTTGGGGTGTCAGGCATGACCTCGAGGAGGTAGGCGCCCCACCTCAATAGATGTGGGAAAAGAGAAGCAAGTAGACGTGTATAGAGAGAGAAAGTAGAGAGAAGTTAGAGTAAAGAGTAGATAGCTTGCCATTTATGAAGAGAGAACTCCTATTTATACACATTTGAGGGTTAGGTAGTGGTCTGGGCGCCTGCCAAGCCATAAATGTTGTGGTCGGGCGCCTCAGACCTTCTGACACTGTACATAGTCCTTTTTTGACAGAGGGTGTCCCCCTGCCCCTTGTCCTTGCTGATGTCAGGTGCCTGGCCTTGTCTCTTGTCTCCCAGCCTTGTCTTTTTGCTCTTTTGTCTTCTTTCCTTCTTTATGCCATTAGCTAGGGTATTGTTTCCTTAGTTACTAGGATACCCTATCAGATTTCAAACTTAGTTACCACGTCACCTGCATTTTCCTGCTCGCTCTGTCGTGTATCTTGACAAATCCTTTACTGATGCCACAACGAGGGCGCTGTTATAGATGAGGTCCTTTCTAAAGTTGAGTCGCATTTAAGGAGTATGCACACATTAGTGGCTGACGAGTTGGTGGGGATCGATACACCCGTGAAAGAAGTGGTGGAATTGTTGAAATTAGAGTCATCAAACGAGAAAGTTATGGTTGACATTCATGGTATGGGTGGTCTAGGTAAAACCACTATATCCAAAGCTGTTTACAACAAGATCGGAGTTAAATTTGATCGTTCTTGTTATCTCGAAGATGTACGAGAAACTCTAGCAAAGAGCGACGGAGTTGTATCTCTATAAAATAAGGTGATAACGAAGTTAAAAGTGTTAGTGAAGGAATCAACATGATAAAAAATAGGGTTTGCAAGCACAAACTACTTATTGTTGTTGACAATATAGACGACAAGTTTGAATTTGATAAGCTTTTCGGAAACTTAGGTGATTTTTCCTCGGATACTAGATTTATATTTACAACAAGGGATAAGAGGGTTTTAGATTTTATTCCCGAATGCAAATTATATGAACCAGGAGAAATGAGTCTTTGTCAATCCCTACACCTCTTTAGCAAACATGCTTTTGGGATGAAGTATCCTCCCGAGGAAGATGTGAGAATATCCGAGGAATTTGTAAAAGTTGCTACTGGCGTTCCTTTAGCTCTCAAGGTGATAGGGTCGCTTTTGTTTCGTAGAGAGAGGAAATTTTGGGAAGAAAAGTTGAGAGAATTACAAGACATTCCTTCTACTATTAAAAACATGGTGCAAGAGAGATTGAAGATCAGCTACAATGACTTGTCGCATAATGAAAAACAAATCTTTCTTGATATTGCTTGTTTTTTTGTCGGTAGCCACAAAGATTTACCTTACTACATGTGGAGTAGTTGTGGTTTTTATCCAGAAAGTGGTATCGACACTCTCATCCATAGATCTTTGATAAAACTTGACAAAGGAAACAAGTTTTGGATGCGCGATCACATTAAAGATCTTGGGAGAGCCATTGTTAAAGAGGAAGATGTTAGACATCCATACAACCGTACCAAGATATGGTTTACTAATGATGTCCTCGACATGTTAAGAAACGGAGAGGTAAAATTCTTTCTCAATGATTTGGTGACATTTCATCCATATTAGATGATATTTATAAATGCTCGAGTGTAATAACTAGTATATTTTCTTGTATGTTTTAAGCAGGGAAGTGAACGGGTGGAAGTTGTTAGAATAGATGTGGAATCTATGGATTATCATGACAAGCTGTTTGAAAGCGAGAGATTTGAGAAATTATCAGGGTTAAGATATTTAGAGGTGCGGTATGGACGCATGATGGGGGATTTCAGTCAGGTACTTCCAAATATATGTTTCTGTCGATTGTATTGTTGTGAAACTGTCCCAACTGATGTTAATACGAAGAAATTAGCGGTACTTGATTTGGAGGGTTCCAATGTGAAGGATAACTGGAAAGGTTGGAGTGGAATAAAGGTAATCCATTTTTATGTCCTCTTTTCGATTTATTATACATAAGAATTTCTCTTTTGGGTTGGAACTTGCAGGCTGCAGTAACTAATCATTTCTTACGTTCCACAGGCGGCAGCAAAGCTGAAAGCAGTTAATGTACCTCACTGCTTGGAGCTGAAAAAATCTCCCGACCTGTCGACATGCACAAGCCTCGAGTTTATAAACTTTTCGCATACCAAAATGAAAGGACAGATGCACATTGGCAAATTCAAGAATCTGAAAACGCTTAGACTCCAAGAAACCTGCATAACAGAGCTAGTCATTAGAGGTGGTGACATTGGAAAACTTCAACGGCTAGAGGAGATGGACGTGAGTCAGACCTATTTGAGAGAACTGCCAGCCGGGATGGAGAGCTTGTCCTCTCTCAAAATCTTGTCACTAGGATCAGATCTATGGCTGACATTCTACCGGATTAAGAGTAGCAGCATCGGCTGCCATTTCCTTCTTCCATTTTGACGTGGCATGGGGTGCTGCCTATTTCATGGTTGCAGCCCCACTTCCATATAATGACAGCTTCCATATAATGGAAGAGCAAATGGAATGGATAGTGGGTACCGATTGGGTCCCACCCCACTTTATGTGCTTTTTTTATTTTCTTTTGTATGAGTTGTTTTGTGTGGGTTGGGAGAAATTATATTTGTGTTGGTAGTTATAAAGTAAGCTGGACCCACCATATGAAATAGATAGTGGATTTCATGGATGTAGGGATGGCAATGGGTCGGGTTGGGCGCGGATAGTGCGTATCCGTTACCCTACCCAAAGTAGTTCCGGTTTTACCCATACCCATACCCACATAAGAAATGGGTAGAAAATCAAAACCATGCCCATACCCGTTCGGGTTTCGGGTATCCACGGTTATCCATGGATACTAATTTCTCTTTATAACTCCAACCAATATGTTAACATTCACACGTATTCTCACATTACATTAGAGGAAAAGTACGATCATAATTCACTAGAATGAAGAAAATTAATCAAAACGACACAATTTCATGAAAATATTATATTTATATGCTAAATATAAAATATGTTAGAGAAAAATAATGATTATTTATATACAAAATACATATGCATGTGTATAATCGGGCGGGTTCGGATTGGATAGTGAGAAATCCATGCCCACCCATTACCCGCAATATTCGGGTTCGGATTTTACCCGTACCCACAAAAATTTCTTCGGGTTCGGGTTTTACCCTACCCGATTAGGTCAGATTCGGGTGAATATCCACGGTTATGGATATTTTTGCCATCCTTACATGGATGTAGAGAAAATGGAAGTGATATGTAGTGAAATGAAAAAAGCTGCTGATGTGGCAGTAGGGGCCACATATGGAATAGAAATGGTATTTCATGAATGTGGATGGTCTAAGATACCCAGGCTTCCGGGGAGTTTAAAGAGGCTATCCGTCTTGTCCTCATGTGGGGTCCCAAATCTGCTAGAGCTCAAGGAGTTGGAAACGCTGAGCTACTCTACTGGTCCTTTAATCCTTGGAGACTTATGGCAGCTTCCCAATTTGAAGGATTTGACTCTGCAGCAGTGCTTTAGCGATGGTCCACTGTTGCAGCAGGACCAGGGCCAGGAGGCAACTTCCCCTGCTGCTCTGCCAACTTCTTTAATCAGCCTTCGTATCGTTGATTGCAAGCATTTGAATGAACTCCCCAACCTAGCGAATCTGTGCAATCTGATCCAACTCCGACTCATGGGGATTGGGGTGGCCGAGATTCGGGGCCTGGGGGAGCTCAGGGCACTGGAGACCATGGCGATCAGTTTCATGGATCTGAACAACCTCAACGGACTTGAGAATCTGCGCTTCCTCGCGACCCTGATCTTGAGGGGCATCCAGCTGGAGACATTGCCTAGTCTAGCAAATTTGAGCAAGTTGAAGGATCGAGGTTTGGAACTATCCGAATCTCGTTCAAATCCAAGGCCTGGGCGGCCTCGGGGAGTCTTTATCTCGTTTGACAATCAGTGAATGTCCTAGCTTGGCAAACTTGGATGGACTTCAACTTCTGGGAGCACTAGAGGAATTGAATTTGAACGGGGCATCGTTTGGCCGGAAACCATCTCTTGATCTCTCCGGTCTCGTCAATCTCAAGCGGTTAAACATCCGCTTATGTCAAGGGTTGAAGGAGGTTACAGGGCTGGAGAGGTTGGTGACATTGGAAAGGCTGGTTATGGAGAGTTGCACTTCGATTCGACAGCTGCCGGATCTGTCCGAGCTTAGCAATCTCAAGTATTTAAACCTCAGTGGCTGCGCAGGGTTGATTCATCTCATTGGGGTCGACAGATTGGTGTCGTTGCGGCAGCTATTGTTGTCGTGGTGTTGTTCCATTGCGAAGCTGCCGAACTTATCCGGTCCCAAGAATTTGGAGCGGCTTTATATAGTGGGGTGCACAAAGTTGATTGAGGTCAATGGACTCGATGAGCTGAAGGAGCTACAGGACCTGGAAATGGGGAAAAGGATGAGAATGAAGTACTTGGTCAAATCGGCTGCTAGATATGGCAAGGGACTAGCTTCTTCACTGCTCTTGGGTCTCTCTCCAACTGCTTCTGGGACCTCTTCCAGCTAGCTACCCCTCGCTCGCTGTCTGTCGTAATCATCTATCCCTTCCTGCAACATCATAATCATCTCTCCGGCCATAGCCGGCTGGCTGACAGCTGCACATTGCACTCAGCTCTGCAATTGGGTAAGATTATATGTACTGCATCAAGACATATGCTGGACTGCAAACCTTCTCTTTTCCAAGTTCAGTTCATGTTTGTTGAATCAGCTATAGAACATCAAAAGTCTCTTATCCGTAATTTACGTGATATTTGGACAGTGTTTTATCGTTTGGAATGATAGGACCTTCAGCTTGTGAGGATCTAGATACAGGGTAATTAAGTGATGAGCTTTGATACTTTCGGCAGCATGGAGTGCTTTTCGACCTGGAATTTCTCTTCCTCTGCCGGGTATTTCTCTTCTTCAATGGCTGTTCTCATTAAGCCAAACCGTTCCTCCTCAAACGGTGTGTGGCTTGGTCGTATGTGGGTGGCAAATCTTTCTCAGTCTAGAGGTAACCATCAAAACCCTGTCCCTCTGCCGAGGAATTACGATAGAGTAATACTGGCGGGCAGTGCAGTGTGTCATGAACCAGTTGATCCCAATAACTCGAGTTGTTGGGAGAAGGTTACGCTGGATCTTATACCACTCTCTAACACGCCCCCTCAAACGAAAGCCAACCCACGGGCTTGAAGTTTGCACAGGCCTACCATACCATGTGCTTGAAAGACAACAGTTAATATTGGGGGTCGTGGAGATTCGAACACATGACCTTTTGGTTCTAGGCTCTGATACCATGTCATGAACCAGTTGATCCCAATAACTCGAGTTGTTGGGAGAAGGTTACGCTGGATCTTATACCACTCTCTAACACAGTGATGTTGAAGAATGCATCGGGGAATGTCTATATGATGGTAAGGCTGAGAGAATTCAATGTTGTGCATCGGATGCTGCTGAAGCGGCTGCCATTCTCGAAGCTGTGAAAATGGCAGCTCGAGACCCCTGCCCTACTCTGATTATATCAGATCGTTTGTTTGTAGTGGATGCCCTTAGGAAGGATGTTGACGGGTTGCCTTTGAGTTGCGGTGCAACTATTGCTCAGATTCGTTCAAACCTTGGTTGTTTGGTGGATGTCGAGGTGGTGTTTCGTCGTCGACAGGTTGTGAAGGATGCTGATGTGGTTGCGCGCAGAGTTTGTAATGGCCTTTTGTTACCTGGGTGGCTGTCTAGTTTGATGTAATTGCTTTTGCCATTGAACTTCGCTGATTATTTTGTGGTGCTTAATGACATAGTTCATTTCCACAAAAAAAAAAAAAAAAAAAAGATCGACAGCAGCAGTTGAAGGTATTATCAAACAGATTGCATGGAGAGGGCTGTAATGTTAGGCGCGAGTTTGAGGCATTGTGGTTGCTCAGTGGTCACTGATTTGATGACTCTTCTCTTTACTGTAAAACCTATTTGTTCCCCACTTTTTTTCTAGTTTTCAGTTTTCTGGTCTGTTTCTGTAACTTCATATCTACAGCACATCTGATTCGGATCTTCCTAAGCAAGTGAATTTCATTTTCAACCTCGAGTGTTCAGCCAATGCATACGTTGTCAATGCTACATAATATATTGTTTCCCCGGGAAAACCAAAATACCACCGCCGGGGCCGAATTTGGTTTCTGGCGATGTTGATTTGATGTTTCGCGATGGAAACTCTTGCGGTGCCGCTGATTGGATGCACCGCTGATAGCTGAAATCGAGACGACCGTCAAATATCCACCGCCTAGCGATGTTGATTTGATCGGTGCAACTCTGACTTCCAAAAACGATGACGATCGTCAAATATCCATCGTCGTGCGATGTTGATTTGATCGATGCACCTCTGACTTCTAACCAACGCGACCGTTACTACGGTTCGCACCTCTCCAAACTACGTTCGAACGAGGGTGTTTGAGTTTTTGAGGAATCTACGTTACGACAACTCCTACGGAGATTCCTGTGGAGAGCTCCGCAACTACGCTACGCTACGACTATGGAGATCCTTCCTGGAAGGAGAGCTCCGCGAAGGAGTTACAGAGAAAAAGTAAAGTTTGACAGAGTTGTTCTATGTTGATTTTTTGGTTCCTTCTCTCTCCTTGCTCCCCTGCTTTTATTCGGAAAACCGCTTCGTAGTCTTCACGCTAGGTGGAACCGCTTCCTCAACTGCTCCGTTGTGAACTCCCACGTGTCTCAACCGTCTTGATCTCCTCCTCGCTCGGGTTGGTGTGAATCTCACGCGATGTCGTTTTCTTCCCCAAACAGCTCTGTTTGCTTTTTTACTCTACGACATTGTTTTATATTAAACACTGTCGTTTGCCAATATAGCGGTACCGTTGGGCTTACTCGCGGTACCGTTTTTAATTAAACGACACCGCTAACATAGCCAAAAAATTCCAATTCATTGACCCGCCGAGAGTTTGCACTCGCATTGGGTTGGGCGGAATTTAGGCCCTTCACTTACCCGATATGCTTTTTTTTTTATTTAATCGGCACCGCTTATCAAAGTCTCCCGCGGCATCGTTTTTACATCCGCGGTACCGTTTTAATTCTCCGCGATGCCGCTTGTCTCCATGCGGTACCGCTTCTCCCCTTCCGACAAGGAATAAAAAAAAAACTCCTTTTCCAACACCAATACTGCGCGGGCCCATCTTGTTTTCCGGCGGTGTCGTTTTCAGTGTCGCGGTACCGCTGAGCTTCCTTGCGGTACCGTTTTTTGTTTTGAGGTATCGTTTTAACTCTCCGCGATGCCGTTCGACTCCAAACGATACTGTTTTTTACCCGCGGTATCGAATTAAATGCCGAGGCTAATTAATGCGGCATTTAATTCCGGTCAAAAATACTTTAGGTGTAAACATATATACATATAAATACTCCACATGATCACCATCAAGTGAACATAACCTCTTCTATCTAGCTAGAACACCATTAGATCAGTATTACTGCTTCTTATCTAATATCTTTACAATGGCCATGCAATTTTGGTAGGGCTACTGATGAGTCGAGTCGAGCCTAGTTTTATTCCGAGCTCGACTCGTTTATAAGTTTATTAACGAGTCGAGTTCGAGCTAATTTGATTACTAAAATTTTGACTTGTGTTTGATATATTCATTTTGAATGTCATGTATGATACATGTGATTAATGTCAAGTTGAAAAAAATAATTATTGCAGTTAAGTGTGTAATATTAACTAATCTTATGTTATACTTTATGGTATCATATGGCTGCAAAAGAACCGAGCCGAGTTTTACCTTAGCTTGAACTCGGCTCGTTAATAAATTAGTTGAGCTCGAGTTCGAGCTAGCTTGCATAATAAATTCTTAACTCGTATTTGATATATTCATTTTATATGTCATACATGATACATGATACATGTGATTAATGTCAAGATTTAAATAAATAATAATAAAAAAAGTTAAGTGTTCAATATTAACTAATCTCATTTTATACTATGTGGTATCAAACTATTTAGTTAATTAATTTTAGCTAGTGAAACTATGTTATTTTATAGTATCGAGGCAATCTATGAGATATAATTTATTTTTAAAATCAAATTAGACATATTTGCTTACATAATCTATGTGTTAAACTTCATATAGGTGAGATATATAATTTAAAAATCCTATGAATTATCAAACTCATATCGATTATTTCGCTCATAACTTGGTAATCGAGTTGGCTCTCTAGCCACAATATTGAGAATTGAGACACCTCGTGAGCTATAAACGAGCCAGCTCACAAGTTGAGCTCAACAAGCCACCGAGTCGAGTTAGCTCGCGAGCTGCAGAATGCTAAGTTTAGCTCGACTCATTAGTTAACGAGCCGAGTTTCGAACGATATTTTCCCGAATCGAACACCGAGCCGCTCACGAGCCGCTCGGATCATTTGCAACTCTGTTATTTAGTTAATAAATTTTAACTATTCAAAATTATGTTATTTCATAGTAACGAAGCAATCTATGAAACATCATTTCTTTTTAAAATTAAATAAGACATATTTGCTCACATAATTTATGTGATAAACTTCATATCAGGTGAGATATATAATTTAACAATCCTATGAATTATCAAAATCAAACTCATATATCATATAGGTCGTTCGCTCGTAAGTCGGTAATTGAGTTGGCTCTCTTGCCACAATATTAAGAGTTGAGACCTTTCATGAGCTATAAACGAACCAGCTCACTAGTTGAACTCAACAAACAATAGAGTCGAGTTAATTCACGAGCTGCACAAGGCTTAACTCAAACTCGACGGCATCAAATGAGTTTTCTTGAGTTGAACGACGAGCGGTTACCACATCCTCAATTCCTCACGCCGCAAAGGGAACCAGCTACTCGCTGTTCTCACTTCCATTCATCATATTGTACACACTCCATCACAACCGTTGGATCTTCAGGTCAACTCTTTAGTCCCTTCAATCGACGGTTCGCATGAATAGGGATCGGCCGGCTTCATTTTTCCGCTGTGCAGTTCATTCCGCGACGGCAAGAAACGAAGTACAAAACCCTCGGTCCCTCGACTTCTTCGCTTAATCTTTCCGCATTTCTTCTTTCTCCAACATTGATTCTGCAGACAGACGAGATGAAGGCGGCTCTGAAGGGAAGATACAACGACGGCAATAGCACCGCCGCCGCAACACTCGTCGTCAACGCCGGGGATGTCAAGCTCCGTGCTTCCCTGACCGACGCCACCGTCGCCAATGGCCCCAGCTTGAACGGCCTGGCTTTAGCCGTTGAGAAACCGGGATTCTTCAGCGTTGACTACAACGTACCCAAGCAGGTACTTCGCAATAAAAACAGCCTTTGATTCAGCTAGAAATTAGTTCGTTAAGCTCTAAGACTGAAGTTGCAGCCTCCGTAGTTGTAGGACTGTAGTCAGTGGTAGCCTGGTAGCTAGCAAGATTTGACTCGGGTCGCTGAACTATTTGGAAACTTGTAATTAGTATTAGGTAGCTGATGGAATAGGGTTGTGTTTTCGTTGTGTTTTCGTTGAACTGGAACTGGAATGATTTCCTGATGTTTAGCTGCTGAAGGTTGCGGAAAGTAGGTCCGATTATGGTGTTTCGGAGTTGACCTTTTCAATATAATTTTTTGATGGAATCGTTTGTCACATCCCGGAGTTGGCTGATGCAATGATTTTCTTTTTCGATGGTTGTTGTAGGATGTCTCCTTTCGGTTTATGAACACGGTTAGGGTTGCAGATAAGCCCTTGAATTTGACTTACATGCATAGCAGGGGGGATAACAGGACTATCCTGGACGGAACCCTTGTAATTGACTCATCTAACAAGGTGTCCAGTAACTATGTGGTTGGTACTGGAAATTGCAAGTTGAAGTACACTTACACTCATGGAGGGTTGACTACATTTGAGCCGACCTACGATTTGGCAAAGAATACATGGGATTTCGCAGTCTCAAGGAGAGTTTACGGGGATGACGTGTTTAGGGCTACATATCAGACATCAAGTAAGCACTTGGGGTTGGAGTGGTCAAGGGTCTCGAAGCTCAATGGGAATTTCAAGGTAAGTTACGCATTGATGTCATTGTGAAGTGGAGTTGATACTTATGCTCTTGTGATCGATTCCTCTAGGTGGTGTGTGTTTCAGCTTCTCAAATGTGCCCAATTGCTCTCTGTGGCCTCTGGAGCTGTTGCTACTTGTAGGAAACTAGGGATGCAGTTATGCTTGAGCTGTCAATCTTATTTTGAAGTTTCATTGATGACATTCATTGAGTGCTTTAGTTTGGTTCAGACAATTCTGAACTCAAGTAGAAAGTCATTACAGAAACTGGCTTGCTTGTCTTAGTCATATTGACTTGTTCCTAGTATTCAGTACATCATGGAGTATGCAAAATTTTGCTGCTCCATAACCCTGCCTGCATCTTTACCTCCCGAGCTATCCATTGCCGATGTGAGACTGGATCATTTCAATCCTCCTGCTGTACGTGTTTCAAAATCCTTTGCTACATTAGTCTGAACTAGTTTTAGATTGGAAAGAGCTTTTGGTCGTCGGTGCTCTCGAACAGCAGCGTCTTTAACAGTTGAACTCCTATGATCAACTGCAATTTAATGTGGATTTGGTCCATTTGGTGGATACTTGTGAACACTATTATCTCCATTGAAGCTTGGGATGGTGTCATTACCCTGATACTGCTAGCATCAATGTTGAGTCTGATGTGTCCTACCATAGTTGGGGCCATGTTAGTGTATTCCTGGATGTCTTGACATACTTTTAGGTGCAGCAAAATATCCAGCTACATTGGATCGAATCAGTTGCTAGAATCCTATGTTACCACATCTCCTGATTTTATTGTGATTTATGGTGTGTATTGTTCATCTCAGGTTTCTGCATCTGTCAATTTGGCCGAGGAAGCGAAAATGCCAAAACTAATCGCGGAAACCACATGGAACATTGAGATGTGATCTGCTTCCAGAAGAGACTTAAGTAGCTGCTCAAAACGTTTGTTTTAGACGGTTGTGCCAAACATTAGGGAGAAATGACCCTGAGGTATCAATGTTCTTGATAGTTTCATCTTGTCGTTGTACTCTTACTGTTGTCCATAATTCTTACTCGGCTAGAAGCGGGGTCAAGCTCTGAAGACTGAGTCCATTGTTAGAACTTTACATGTGTACCTCCTTGCATTATAATACTTTCAAAATTTTACGAACAGGTCAAATGTGGTGGTATGATGAACTTCGTATCACTAGTTGCTAACTTGCTATGTGATGGATCACAGGGTTAAAATGTGACCTGACCCTTATAAAGTCAAAATATGACCTGATGTTTGTGTGAAAGAGAACGGAGAGTGCAAGAGTATTGCTGTTGAATGTAAGGTTGCTAACTTGCTATACTTGGTTTAAGTCGAGAATTGATCTTTTCTTATAGTCCTCTATCTATTTTGGGTAGTTAAAGTGGTCGCTTTTGAGTTATTTTCTTTTCTTTTGTTATGGTTTTATAGCAAATTAATGTTTTTGGATTAGTACTATAAAATCATTATGTTTATTTTATTTATATGTTTTTTTTGTCATAGTTACATTCGAAGGGAAGCGGAATAAATACAACAATATATAATGTCTACTATGACTGGAGTAAGAAATTTAAGTAAACAAAACATGATGGTCGACAAGTGTTTATCGTCTCACTATTTTAATTTGGTTATTTGTGTATATTAATTAATATGTCCGTGGATATATGGATACCCGTCGATATCCATTGCGTATGAACATGGTATGAAATTCACTATTCATACCACTTGGTCAAGTGGAATTACCCAAACCAGATAACTTAATGGATGGAGATTGTATATAAAATAATCGTCCCGATCCGACTCGTCGCCATCCCTAATCAACTTGTATGTTGATTGAAACGTGGTTCAATTGTTTCACTAAATCGACTGTCAATTTAGCCTCCAATAAAAAGTTTTTCTAGTCGGAGCGCTAATACGATTTGACAAACACTAATCCTTACTTAATATTATAAGGATTCAAAACTAATAGTGTGCCACATCAGCAAATGCTTAGCTCTCCACCTCCCACCCATTAATGAAAGAAAAATTGATTTTTTTTCATTCTCAAATTCAATAGCTTGGTTTGCTTTGTCTTCCTTCTTGGATTTACTGTTTAACTCTCTTCATTCCGTTTTCATCCTTTTCATATCAAACCTCTTTTCTTTTTCTTTTCTCCAAGAAATCAATATGGTGTGAGCTGCCAAAATCAAGTAGTTATTATTTAATTTCTTATGCAATCTTTCTTTTACCCTTTCTACAATCTGATTGCTCCTTATCTTTATGCGATAACTTATTTTATAGCAACCAAGGTCAACCAAATCCACATTTTTTTTGGTAAAAATATCAATAATTCCCTTAACAACAAGAATGAAGCGACATATTGTATTATCTTCAAAGTCATTGGCAAGATCAGGCAAGTAGGTTGAGAGTTAATGGTCCGCCCGGTTTACCTCGAATATATAAAAAAGTCATTATATTGTTCATACATTTATAAGTTATATCAAGTATATCTAACATATAACATTACACCAATATAACATTACACCAAGAAAGAGGCGCATTTCGCAAAGCAAATGAGAAACGACGTCGTGTCACCTCCAACCCGGCAATCCTATAGCTGGTCGACCTGCGAGTATGTATGACCCATATTTTCACTAGATCTGGGTCAAAATGGGTCAACCGACGAATTGACCAACGAGTTGACAACTTTACTTCAAAGAGTTCGATTGTACTTGCATTCTTATACTTGACATGAAATTTAACTTACCTTAATTTGTCATCTTCTTTAGTGGCCTTTAAATCTATTAACAATTTCGCAAGGATTGGATGAAAAAAATAATTAACCTGTGTTGTTATTTAACATTCATTACTTACATTTAAAATGCCTGGTCCGATGAAATATTTTTAAATAAATAAAAAGTTCACAGAGAAAAAATACAATTATAATAATTTCCTCATAAGCAAGCAAATTTACAAAAGTGTGCAACTGTAGAGGAAACGAGCCGAATCAGATTAACTACTCAATGTATAATAAATATCACATACACAATTCATAAAAAAATTAGAAACAAAAGATAATCGCAACGTCACTAATATAAGGTTTAACAAGTCATTCTAAATAAGCTATGCATCATGTTTCAAATATAAGTCATATGCTAATAGTAAACATCTTTATATCGCGAGTTTAAACAGAACACACAAAAAAATAATAAAAAAGTGTTATTCCATAACTAAAAAATAGTTAGAAAAATGACAAATAATGGAAATAAAACAACCAAACAAAACGTAGCGTCCAACGGGCGGGTAAGAAGCTAGTTTACTATTAAGAGATGTTTGATGAACAATTTGTAAGGATTAGTTTGACTTAAATATAGATGTCAAGCCATCAAAACACAGATTAATTAACGTATGATTTTTTTTTTCATAGATAGGGATTAATTAACTTATGATTTGATTAAGTAACAAATGCTAGCATGACGATGGTCGATGAGTGCATTTCCGATTTTCGATGCTCATCTGGACCTATTTGACCACTAAAATATTCACAGTCAACTTCACCGTTACCCCTTTCGTTCCAAAACTCGAATTTCTTCCGCCAATTATCAAAACATTTCAAAACCACCTCCCGCCCTAATCCCGTTCACTCCGCTTAAACTGAAAATGCACTATCACGTGAAGGGTGAAGCAGTACTAGAAAGTTAGAAACAAGCACAGATAGCACTCTTCTCCTTCTACTCCACCGTTCCCTTTCCAGAGAATCGAGAGATCAATTCCGTCGGAGATGGAGTCAGACGAAGAGTTTCTGCAATTCGCGGAGGCGGGAGAAGCGCCGCCTTCTCCAGTCCCTCAAAGGAAGCTCAAACGTTTGAGGAGGAAACTCGCTAGTCCGAAAGGTTCGCAAGAAGCAGTCCATCATCTGTCGGAAGAGGATGATGAGCCTTCTCCTTCCGTTCGGCCCGTGAGGTCCCCGATTCTTTTCGAAACCCTAGATTCGGAGGAGAGGGATGACGATGATGGATTTCAGGCCACGAAATCCAGATCCGTGTTCGATTTTATGCGTCCCAAGGAGGGAGCTGAAATGGATTATACTGCTGATGGTTCAGGCACGAGCGGACGCGTAGCTGGAGTTAAGAGGTCGCTGGATTTCGGATCAGACGGCGAGGGGACTGACGGCGGAGCAGATGGAGATCGAACAACGGTGAGTGTGGGAGTGGATGAAGAAATTTGCGAATCGAGGGTGGAGGAATCGGAGAAGCAACGGGCAGCTTTAGACGGGACTGAGGTAGAGAAAGAGAAGACGAAGAAGAAGCACAAGAAGAAAAAGAAGGATAGGGGATCTGATGATGGTTGTGACGAGGAGCCAAGCGCAGGAGGGAAGAAGGTAACGGTCTTCTCGTAACTCATTTTTTCTTTTATTTAATTTACGCTGAATTTTGTTTTGGACTGTCTACAATTCGGTTCTTGTTGAATGCAGGATAGAAGAACTCGTCTCAAGGAACTTCGTGTTGAATCTCAGAGGCTGTTAAGAGGTATAAGCTCGAAGCCATTTCTTTTGTGAATGAGAGCTTGGGATGCTTCGCCTTAATTAGCCTTCTCGATTGCTTCTTCTGCATTTGTTTAGAGACCAGAGATGCATCGTTTAAACCTCAACCTCTGGTTCAGAAGCCTGTGTCAACAATTTTGGAGAAGATTCGGCAAAGAAGGCTTGAGCTCTCCAAGAGGTAAACGTATATCAATAATTTAGTGTTCAATTTAGTTTGCAATGTGGTGGGAATTAGTGTTGATTGTGAAGGGGTTTTTGGTTACAGATCAGTACGAGCAAATCCTGCTTCGTTCGACGAGAATGATCTTTCTCCAAAAGGGTTATCTGTAGACTTGGATTCTGCGAATGCCCATTTTGAGGACGTTGAATATCCAGACGTTACTATATCAGATGCTGTGAAAAGTATGAAGAAGCCTGCTGATATGGCGGAGAAGACTGATGTTGAAGGCCAGGAAGGATCCAAGAACTCTGTAAATCCCAGTAGCAAAAGCCCTGCTCCTGAAATTGTGAGTTTGGTTCTATTTTAGCAGTTTTGAGTATGTTTGAGATGGTTGGACAGTTGTTTCATTTAGTTAGTAGGCACAATAATTTTCCATTACTTGTAGTATTTTGCTTGAAAGAAAGACGAGCCCAACTAATTGGTGCTTGATTGTGTTTTTCTTACTTTACAGGCACTGAGTGAGGAACTAAAGCAAACATTTCGAGCTCCACTTGATGACACCCAGGTTTGTTTCCTTCTGGCTTAGACACTCGAAATCGTCTAAATGAATAATTATTGATAGTTTACATGCTTCATGACATGTAGGATCTATTTGATTCCCAAACGAGTGACAGTAAATATGAGATGCTGGATGAGACACCGAGGAGTCCACTGGAGGAAGTTCTTGCGCCATCCTTACTTGCAATGAACTTGAAGTTTGACTCTGTTTGCCCTCTTGATTCGTAAGTCCTTCATACATCATTAATGTCCTTCTCTTCTGAAGATTTTTGTTTTTTTTGTTTTAGATTCATGACCAATAATAAGCATCTATTCTAGTAGTGGTCTGCTTGTCTATTGGCGTAGAGTTTATCGTTAAGGCTCTTTCTTAAATCTTCAATGAGTTGTAGTAGGTTCATCAGTTAAGAATAAGACTCAATTTTCTCCCATTTTTTTTTACTTCTGTGTCTGGGTGATAATTGCAGTTACTTGAGTACTCGGCTCCATGTTCCTTTCAGTATCTAAATTTCTAACATGGCATCATGCAAGTGAATCATAGGAGCCAGTTTCCGTAGTATAGTCTCTGCTACGGTTATGACCATTGTGTTCCTATTTTACTGACTTGTCCTGTTCATTTCCAGAGGCAGTTCTTCTGACGAAGAAGAGTACAATGATAAGGAAAACATTGATCCCCGCCTTTCTGGATCAATTGACCTGTCTTTATCCCCCAAAGGAGATCCAATGAAGGCTTTCATCGATGAGGAAGCCGAGGAAGAAGATGACAGCGATAATGACTTAAACCGCTTCCAAGAGAATGAGGATGACGATGATGACGATCTCGACTCTGAGGAGATTAATGACATCATTGCAACAGGATTCAAAGAAAAACCTGTTGATGATGAAATGCGAAATGAACTTCACCAGAAGTGGCTTGAGCAGCAGGATGCTGCTGGAACAGAGCACCTCATGAAGAAACTCAACT